GGGAGGGGACCCCTGAAGTCTCTCTCCAACATGCCCCTCATCTCCACCACACCTATGTAAGTAGCACATCATAGCCAACTGATGTCTTTACCTTGGGTACTAAAACCATAATTGATCATTAGGATTTATCGTAAATATCAAGGACATTTCGGGACAATTTATTTTACAGAAATAATTGATATTTTCCCCGAGTAAATTAGTTTACTTTAAAATTATGGGATAATTTTTCAGTGTATGTCTTACTAGACTAAGTGTAAAAAATAGTGGGCTCTTTCAATTATTTTTTTACGAGTATATCTTATAATATTTTCGTTTATCAAATGACATTGACATACAAACCAAACTAATTTTTGTAATTTTGTAATCGTATAAAACCTATGGCAATAGTTTATATAATGAATAACATTTTCTGAATCAGCCCTCATGATAAAAATATTTTCTGTTTTCCAAAACGCTAAGATCCTCTTAAAATACAAAAATCTCGCACATTACTAAATACAGTGACATTGTGAAGTCCGTTCATGTTCCATTAAATTCTCTTAAACTGAAGGCAATTAGCGAAAGCCTCATTGATTGGAGGATGAACCACAATGTATTCCATTTTAGAAAGTGCATAACCACTGGTTATGCACTTCCTAAAATGCAAAACATTGACATAACATGAATGCTAACCAGTAGACGGATAACATAAAAATATACAGCAAAAAAAATTGATGTGCAGCCTACTACATAAAAATCTTGTGTTTGATCAGTGAGGGACAGGAGGGGTGGGTGTGGGACGAGTTCCAGAAGTCAGTGCCCATGTCTACCTACTTGGTCGCCTTCGCTGTGTTTGACTTTCCCGTCAAAATCGTAAACGATGGAACAAATGGAACCATGCTTAGAGGTAAGGGCCACGGATATGCTTGGATGTATATGTATGAATGATTATAGTGGTTTGGAGCCTCGTATAAGATACAATATTAGTAATAATAATAATAATAATAATAATAATAATAATAGTATTATTAGTAGTAGTAGTAGTAGAAAAAAGTTAGTGGTACTGGTAGTATCATTAGAATGCATTTGTAACAATTTCTAACGAATTCGTCCACATGAAATATAATTTTTTCGGCACAAACGCTCTTAAAATTGTTTACATTATTATTATTACTCTTATTATTATTATTATTATTATTTTTTTTTTTTTACAATCAAAGCTAAGCACTAAACCCACAAGGGTAAATTTTTTAACACTGTTGAGTGTCTGCACTTGTGGTCACTTGTATCTCCACCTCAACTGCCCTGTTTAGCTTCTTGTCTGTGAAGAATAAAACTCGCTATATCTTAGCTTTAACAATTCAAAACTAATTCAGAAATTGGGGACAAGATATAGACGATGTTTCGGTCCATCTTGAGCCATTATCAAGTTGCCATTATGGTCCAGGACTGACCGCAACGCCGTCTAGTACACTATTTTACATCGTATGTTAGTTGTGAGTTCTTGTCTGTCTACCACAAGTGGTGACGAGGAAGGCGATGCAAGGGCGAACGACTCACGCAGGAGAGATTGCACTTCGAGTCCTTCACTACTACGAAAGTTACTTCCAAATCTCTTTCCCGCTCCCAAAAATTGACTTTATTACCGTGCCTGAGAATTCTTTTTCGGCTATGGAGAACTGGGGTCTCATCACATACAGGTTTGGAAGTGTTGTGTGCCATGCCTGGTGTGTAAAGTGTAGTCTGGTTCCGAGTCTACTTGGAGTATGTTATGTTAATATCCAGAGTTTATTACCTGGACCTCAGCAATGAGAGTCGCTACTCTCACCGCTGAGAAACGGCGACCATAAGCTTGTTAGTGTTAAACCCTAGCAATTGCACGTGGGTCATTAAGGCTATATTTTGTCTGTAAACTAACATAAAGAATTTATTAGTAATTAAGGTAAATATTTAAAGTTTACTAAATGAGAGACATCTCTCGGTGTATTTTCATGCGGAGAGATACACACCTCTTCGTGTATATTCATTGACCGATGCACACACCTCGAAGATTCACATCTCCAAGTGTATATTCACTCAGAGATGCGCCCCTGTCAATGTATATAAACTGAAGGACACACGCCTTGTGTGTTTATTGTAGAGTTCCTCTACAATACAAACACAAGAGGAACCAAATAATCTTGTGCATTTTTATATTAATTGCAAATTTTTTCCTGCATTTGCTTTTTTTCTCAATAAACTAACCGATCTTTTATATTCTTTTCTTCCCTTATCTGTTTATCGGTTTCTGGCTCTATTTTTCTTCGTCTTCCACTCGTCCATCCTTTCTATCCATTACCTGGTTTTTATAACTTCTATTCGAAATCATATCCTCTGTCTCTGTCTGTCTCTCTCTCTTTCCATCTGTAGTCTGGGTACGGAAATCGAAACAGTCTTGGCTACACTACGGGTCTGAAGTTGCTCAGAGAAGCCTGTGGTTCTTCGAAGATTTCTTCAGCATTGACTTTCCCCTCCCGAAACTCGACTTCATTTGTCCTCCTGAGATGAGCCCCAACGCCATGGAGAACTGGGGTTTAATAACCTATAGGTCAGTCAGTTGCTCAGCTGCCTGCGCTTACGCTTGCATCTTTCCTTCACATTCCTGCATGGATTCGAACTGGAGGCTTCATGAAAAAGGTCTCTGAATTCGTAGTTTCTTAAGTAATTATTGGTTATGATGCACATTATCTAGCTTGTTATATTGAATCTTATTTTGTTAGTGAGGGTTAAATTTGATTATATGTGATGAAGTTTTATGTCAGAATTTAATTGTTATTCGCTGTCTGTGCTTTCTCATTCTCTTTCTCCTCACACTTTCTCTCTTTCTCTCTCTCTCTCACACACACACACACATACAGGGAGTCTGGTCTGCTTTATGACCCCGAGAGCTCTTCAGCGCGACAGAAGCAATGGACTAGTTACTTGGTAGCTCATGAACTGGCTCACCAGTGGTTCGGTAACCTCGTGACTCTATCTTGGTGGACCGACCTGTGGCTTAACGAGGGCTTCGCTACCTATATGGCCGAATATGCCATCGATTATGTGAGTTTATCAATTTTTCAATATTTGGCAAACCAATATTTGCATTTTGCAAGTGGTGAAATATTTTTTTTTAATTTCCAGTTAATGATAAATTTCAGTCTGAATATTTTGTTACTTTGTTAAATTCCTGTTTATTTGAAAAAAATTACTTAACACCGCTGAGAAAAAATAATGTAACTACTGTATATTATTGCTCTTAATATAGCTTTCTTATTATTATTATTATTATTATTATTATTTTATTATTATTATTATTATTATTATTATTATTATTATTATTATTATTAATGACTTATACTGTCATTTTCTTTATAATACCAATGAATTCATATTTTTTTTAATATTATTGTTCTTAAACTATTCTTTTTATTAATCCTGGACACGATAATATGTGTGACTTACTATGGACGCATTTGTGACCTTTGACCACATCATGTAAACTTTACTAATGGTCAATAAGATTTTAACTCCTACGCTGATGGTATATTATAAATAATAAGTCACTTTGTGTTTTATTAGTTTTTATTTTACTTTGTTTTCCATGACTTTGACACCCATGACCAATCTGAATTCGAGTGTCTGTTAGTTTAGACACTAAGAGATTATATAACTTTTGATTTGGCATGACTTAGAATTCTGTGTCCCACTGAACTCTTCAATCTTGAGAATCGAACTGAATCACCCATTATCAAATCTTTTCGATGATCCTGTTATCAATATCCTATTGTCTCATGAATCGATGACTTGCCTCGTTATCCCTAATCATGTCTACGCTTACCTGTTCGTTTTTGTGACTTCAGTTCATGATGTATTCAAATCTCAATTTTCATGGTCTCTCACCGGGTCACCAACTGGAGAAGACCCGGGGCGAGACAACACAGGTGAACCACATCACTGAATCTTGGTCTCTCTACACATAATTACCTGTAATTTTGAGTTCAATCCTTGGTGGACATTGTAGAATCGAGCCTCTAAAATTCTATATTACTTTAAGTATCGTTTTGCAGAACATCTGTTTTTATTTTTAATAATTATTTTTTTATTACGTTTTCGTACTACAGAATAAGTTTTCATCGTTTTAACCCCTCACTGTAGTCCTTATCGACTCGCTAACCTTATCTTCCTTTTGTATGGAACCTTGGGTATCCGGGGTGCAGCTGGAACCGTCAAGAAAGGAGCTGGAGCAGTTTGTAGTGAAGAGACTGCAGTCAGTGATGACTCTGGATGCGCTTCGCTCCTCTCACCCTGTCAGTGTTGCTGTCAATGATCCCATCCAGATTAATGAGATCTTCGATGTCATCTCCTACAACAAAGGTAAAAATTCTAGTCAGCCTTCCAAGACATCTTTGTCTATACCTTAAGGCAGGGGTTCTAACCTTTTTACAATTGCAGACCCCAATGGACTGCCCAAAATATCCCCATACCCCCTTCACCAGACTGTGGAAATCACCACCATCATTATCACCAGTCCTATTAGGTGCCAGTATGACTTCAAAAGATGTCAATATTATGGTTTTTACATATGGATTTCTAGGAATAAAACTGCTAATAGTTTACTTCAATCTAACAACTTTATTTTTAAATTGTTCAAAGATCTAGTCCCATACCCCAATTATTTGGTTCCTATACTTGTTAGGGATATGGGAACCCTTGGTCTAGACAGTGTGGGATGGATGCTGAAGATTTGATTACTAACTGTGAGGAGTGAAAATCAATGTTAGAAGAAACTCGCTTTACTAAAAGAAACTTTTGAACTCGTGGGATAAAAAACCTAGGCGTGAAAAAGGCATATACTCTACTCACGTTACTTACCATTAAATATTTTCGTCCTTAGCTTACAGTGAGTATTGAATATATTTATTGTAGGAAGCCTGAATAAATGAATGAGTATAATTGAAATCCACTGCACTGGCTAAGCGCCGTAAAGTGAAGCGCCGTAAAGTGAAGCACCATAAAGTGAAGCACCATAAAGTGAAGCGCTGTAAAGCAGGACCTGTATTTCATATGTCCTTCCTCAACATACATTTCTGAATTTTGTATTTCTTGTTAATAGTTCTATATTGATAGTTTCAGCACAGTTTTTATATCCCCTTTGCCTATACCCAAAGAGTAAGTATTTCTCATAATGGATAACATATGTTTACATTAAAAGATTTTATTTGTCGTTCCCATGTTCTCTTTTTAGTTCTCTCTTTGTTTTTTTTCCATTTTTCACTCTCGCACTACTCTTTGACTATCACTTTTCACAAATAACCCGCACATAGGAGAGAGGAACTTATGACGATTTTGTAAATGGTCCAAGTCGGACCGAAGCGTCGTCTCTCCTATGTACGGGTTATTTGTGTATTGTTCCAGTCACGGTATTGCTTCCTCTTTGTATCTCTTGTCACCACGTTCTTGTTATTTATATATTGGCGCTTCACTTTCCTTACTGACTGTCAAGACTTTCGACAGGAGCATCAATTATTCGGATGATGAGCCACTTTCTAACTGAGGTCGCCTTCAGAAGCGGCCTTCAGACCTACCTTACGCAGTTGTAAGTGAATTAACTCACTCCTGAAAGTGTCTGTCCTGTATATACTAATACACGTATTTGTTTGCAATTAAACTGACTCTCAGAACATCACATTCTCAGTGTGTTTACTGATGTGATATGTCAGTCACATTCTCATTAAACACACTTCCTTATTGATACATCACAAAAGTAGAAGAAAATAATTTTTCTTTCACTGTGGTCAAATTACGTAAATAGGTATCATGTGCATTTTGGTGATTTTCCTGCTTGAGTTTAATTCATTACCTCTAATTTAAGATGTAGGAGATTTGATGATATAATTTCTAAATGACGAGACTATGAATTGTGGTATTTCTGTAACACCATTACACTTCGTATACAGAAAGGCCCCGCTTATACAGCAGGTTAGGCTTCAGGCTACTACAGAGCCCCACGTATACAGCAGGTTAGGCTCCAGGCTACTACAGGGCCCCACTTATACAGCATGTTAGGCTTCAGGCTACTACAGAGCCCCACGTAAACAGCAGGTTAGGCTCCAGGCTACTACAGGGCCCCACTTATACAGCAGGTTAGGCTTCAGGCTACTGCAGAGCCCCACGTATACAGCAGGTTAGCCTCCAGGCTACTACAGGGTCCCACTTATACAGCAGGTTAGGCTCCAGGCTACCACAGAGCCCCACGTATACAGCAGATTAGGCTCCAGGCTACTACAGGGCCCCACTTATACAGCAGGTTAGGTTCCAGGCTACTACAGGGCCCCACTTATACAGCAGGTTAGGTTCAAGGCTACTACAGGGCCCCACTTATACAGCAGGTTAGGTTCCAGGCTACTACAGGGCCCCACTAATACAGCAGGTTAGGTTCCAGGCTACTACGTGGCCCCACTTATACAGCAGGTTAGGTTTCAGGCTACTACAGGGCCCCACTTATACAGCAGGTTAGGTTCCAGGCTACTACATGGCCCCACTTATACAGCAGGTTAGGTTCCAGGCTACTACATGGCCCCACTTATACAGCAGGTTAGGTTCCAGGCTACTACAGGGCCCCACTTATACAGCAGGTTAGGTTCCAGGCTACTACAGGGCCCCACTTATACAGCAGGTTAGGTTCCAGGCTACTACGGGGCCCCACTTATACAGCAGGTTAGGCTCCAGACTACTACAGGGCCCCACTTATGCAGCAGGTTAGGCTCCAGGCTACTGCTGTAAAGCGAAAAAATCACTGTACAGTGAATCATAGCTCTTTTTTTCCTTCCAAGTGAACATAAAAGTCTAATAACATGTTGACACTATCATATATTAAGTGAACAAAAGAGCTAGGCCTTAAAAATGCATATACAGTACACACATTACTTACCTTAAAATATTTTTTCCTTAGCTTCAAGTGAGTGGTAAATATATTTATTATAGAAAAGTTGAATAAATAAATAATGGGTAAAACTGAAAACTGCTGTATTTGCTAAATGCTGTAAAGTGAAGCGCTGTAAAGCGGGACCTACCTGTATATACCACCATCTCGAAAAACACAGGATCGAGCAACAGTTTTATTACAACATGACTGAAAATTTATGACCTTATTTTCATATGTAGCTCAGAAGGGCAAGTATTTGGCATGCTGTAAATTTTGTAGAAAATACCTCATTAATGGGTGTAATATAGCTAATAACACAATTTCCTTGTGATTAAACATTCTGTGATTTTTAAGTCATGTACAGAGACTAAATATATAATATATGGTAGGTAGTATAAATAACCAATAAGGCTCTTGGTGATCACCTTTACTGTACAAGGTTTTTGTCCCTTTCCAGGAGCTTTAAAAACGCTGACCAGGATGACCTGTGGCAGTACCTGACGGTGGCGGCGCATGGTGAGGGTACACTGCCGCAACACCTCTCTGTGAAGACCATCATGGACACCTGGACGCTGCAGACGGGATTTCCCGTCGTAACTGTCACCAGGGTGGGCAACACCTCAGCTGTCATCACCCAAGAGTACTTTGTGCTAGACGTAAACACATTGGTGGCTAGGGAGGCACAGACGAAAGCTCACAAGTGGTGGATTCCTGTGTCGTACACTACTGGGGAGAACCCAAATTTCAGTGACACCAGTGTCAAGTTCTGGCTCAGTGATGATGGTATTGAGCCAGTCTCATTCATCGGCTACCCACAGCCCCATCACTGGCTTATTTTCAATATCAAACAGACTGGTAAGCGAACAGGCATGCAACTGGTAGTTTTTACAACAAGTTCTGACGTGTGTTTTTTTCATACTGTATAAGATTTTTCTTGCGAGAGAATGAACCAGCATTTAACCATTCCCTCTCTCTCCCCCACCCTGATATCTTAATTTTAAAGTACTTATAGCATATTCCGTCATTAGCTTACACACACTAGTTATACTACCTGAATCGTCAACATAATTTGTCGTTGCATCACCATTCAAGGGAGATTCCTTCATGTTGTGAACGGCTATTACTCCAAGAAATTAGTTATCCTTCCCTTCCGGTCATCAGGCCTGATTTCCTCCAGACGCTGCATGACCTCTAAGTGCTCGGCGCTTTCCCGTGACTATAATTCTGCTGCTTTGTCAGGTTACTATCGCGTGAACTACGATGAAGCCAACTGGGATCTCCTGACGCAGCAACTGCAGGAGAATCACCGGGTTATCCACGTCACCAACAGAGCTCAGATCATCGACGACGCCTTCAACCTCGCCAGGGCAGGTACAGTCTCAGACATAGGGATCCTCTGATCTGCGAGAGTTCAGGGGTCCACTGGTCTGAGATTTCAAGGGTCCTCTTGTCTATGGAACTTGAGGTTCCTGGTCTGTCATACTCGAGTGATTTTTTTTTTCTGCAGACCTTTAGGTCAATTAACGTGGACCTTATTCCCAACTGAATATAGAAAGACTTAAAATTCTCTGTCGTTGTTAAACGAGGGTCACTTCATAAGTCTTGACAACTATTTAAAATGAGAAAATTACTGCAAATGCGAAAAATTCAATATGTACACTTAGAAGGCTTAAAAGAAACGCCAATTAGCATCATCTTGAGCATATGAGCAGGTGTCCAAAACTAATATGCAACCAAAAACAAATGTTATACGTATAATATCCTATTTTCTTTAATCTCGCCATAATTTACGTACTACAAACCGGTCGTATCCCACCGAGGCAGGGTGGCCCAAAAAGAATAAACGAAGGTTTCCCTTTTTAAATTTAGTAATATATACCGAAGGGGTAACTAGGCCCTTGCTCCCAGCATTTTAGTCGCCTCTTACGATATGCATGGCTTACGATACAATGCATGCGCTGAGTGACCCATTAAAGGTTTAGTATGTTACGCGAATATAATTACGATAATGTGGATACATTGTGTTGTGATCTCTCTTTATGCAGGTCGACTGTCATACAGGATCGCCCTGGAGGTGATATCTTATCTTGGGCAAGAGGAGGAGTACGTGCCGTGGAAGGCAGCCTTCACGAATTTCCAATACCTTTTCGACATGTTCTCCCGGGACCCGTCATTTGGCGGTGTCAGGGTAAGATTCTCTTCACCTGAAACCTGCACTTCGGTGGTTCCTTGACCACTGGCACGTCATAAACTCTTGTTTCGTGAGTCTTGTTTCTTGCCTATGGTGTCCCGTAGCTTGATTGCTAGAACACTCAGTTCACACACTGAGGTCCGTGGTTCGATACTCATTACGGGTGGAAACATTTGGACGTGTTTCCTTAAGACACTTGCTGCCCCACTTCACTTATAATTATAATAACTTTATTTACTACAAGTACAAGGTATAAAGGTCTAGCTAACATCAATAACAAACTACTACATAGAAAGCCACTTGTTATGCAGAACATTTCGGGCAAATTAGGTTAGCTTTGTCCCAGGATGCGACCTACACCAGTCGACCAGCACCCAGGTACCCATTTTACTGATGGGTGATCATAGACAACCAGTGTAAGGAAACACCTCCAATGTTTCCACCCCTTCATCGGGAATCGAACCCGGACCCTCACATTGTGAAGTGAGAGGTTTTGCCACCAGGTTATCGGGCATCAGTATCAGTAAAATAGTTACCTGGGTGTTAGTCAACTGGTGTTGGTCGCATCCTGGGGACAAAATTGACCTAATGTGCCCGAAACGCTCTGCATAAGAAGGGTCTTTCTATATAGTAGTATGTCATTGTTGTCAGCTAGAGCTGCATACCTTGTACTTGTAGAAATAAAGATTATTACTATTATTATAGAATAGATAGCATATAACTTAACCTAGAGTAGCCCAATAAAGTCAAACACTGACTTTATTTCCACTAGGGATAAAAGTTCACTTTCAGGGTATATACACCGAGAGAGCTCGATGTAGATAACGGTGTCAATGATATTGGGCAAGATCCCTGACCATCTATATTTACTAAAGATAGCCATCAAATAACACCATTTTCTTTAAAACTAGAGAAAACTGCAATATGTTGATTCAGCTGAAGGACCCGGGTTCGAATCCGGGATGAGTAAGCAAGTTTGTTTAGGTATATACAAATACAGTTACATAGATTATCATACATAGCAGCATATGTATAGAGAACCTGGGATAACCATAAAAGAGTCAGTGAATTATTTCCATTGGGGTTCTTATTTCCATTGGGGTTCTTATTTCCATTGGGGTTCTTATTTCGATTGGGTTTCCTACTTATTTCCATTGGGGTTCTTATTTCCATTGGGGATTCTTACTTATTTCCATTGAAAATGTTGGATATGTTTTCTTACAGCTGTTTCTCCTGTTCATCTATAAGTAAAAGAGTACCTTAGATTTGGCCGACCTTTGTGAGTCGCAGCCTAGGAATGAAGCTCAAAGGGCCCCCTAAGGAACCCAATGGAAATAAGTCACTTGTATGACTCTTTCGGGGTATCCTGCGTAATCTACACATATGCTGCTATGTACGATAATTTATGTAACTGCATTTATGTGTACCTGTACCTGAATAATAAGTAAAGGACCCCAATGGAAATAAGTCACTGTCTGACTTTTTTGGGTTATCCTAGGTTCTCTACACATATGCTGCTATATATGATAATTCTATGTAACTGTATTTGTGTATACCTAAATAAGCTTACTTACTTACTTACCTTGAAAATAAGATACCCATCAAATAATGTAGTTTTCTTTAGAAATTAAAATAAAAGAAAACTTACTTTGCTGGTATAACTACATTGATTGTCAAATTTTGAACCGTAGATAAGGAAATAAATAAGATAAGATAAACAATATTTAGGAATTAGCAAATGCATTTATTCTGATGAGCATATCTCTCTTAATGTGTGTGCAATGAGAGCAATGCATGTGCTTCACAAAACGTTTCGCTTACAAAGACCCCAATGGTAATAAGTCACTTTATCTGACCCTTTTTGGGTTATGCTGGGTAATTTACACATATGTTGCTATGTATCATAATTGTACTAAAGTGTAACTGTACCTAATTAAACTTGCTTAAATCGTAAACACTTGATTGCGAACAAATCACGGGACGAGTGTGGTTTGAACCCATTCCACGATTTGATTTGTTTCACTTACAAGCGAAAGTGCCTGTGTTATTATGAAGGGGGAGGGGAACACAAAACCCACATGGGTATTCACCTAATTTTAATCACCTAATTGTGGTTGTAGGGGTCGATTCATAGCTTTTGGTCCCGCTCCTTTACTGGTTGTTATTTAGTCTTCTCTCTCCCTGCTCCATGAGCTTCATCGTACCTCTTATTAAAGTTATATATGGATCCTGCCTCTGCTAAATCATTTCCCAGATTGTTTCACTTCCTGACAACTCTATGACTCAAGAAGTACTTCCTAACAGCTTGAAGACTACCAACAGACCCCTGGCAGTCTTCAAGCTGGCACTGGACAAGCACCTAAAGTCGGTTCCTGACCAGCTGGGCTGTGGCTCGTACGTTGGTTTGCGTGCAGCCAGCAGTAACAGCCTGGTTGATCAGGCTCTGATCCACCAGGAGGCCTGGTCACAGACCGGGCCGCGGGGGCGTTGACCCCCGGAACTCTCTCCAGGTAAACTCCAGGTAAGTAAGTTTATTCAGGTATACACAAATACAGTTACATAGAATTATCATACATAGCAGCATATGTGTAGAGAACCTAGGATAACCCAAAAAAGTCAGAGAGTGACTTATTTCCATTGGGTAACATGTAACATCCCTGCGACTCGTCTGAGTCTTCAGCTTCCAGTTGTAACACCTTGCTGTGTCCCATCTCCGAAACATTTTGGGAATGGAAGGTAGTCCGGTTCAATTCAAGGAACAGAGGGACTTGTTTAATTCTTTTGTTTAAAAAGGTTAAAGGGGTTTAATTCCTATCAGCTACAGGAGTTATTAAGGTTGCGTGGCAAGTTTTTCAACACTAGACAATACTTTAATCACTAAAATAGTGATCCAAATTACTAACTCCAGAGTATATATATTCTAAAATACATATAATTATTATTATTATTATTATTATTATTATTATTATTATTATTATTATTATTATTATTATTATTATATTCAGCAAGCTATACAAATATTTTACAGGTATTAGTGTAAATAAAAAGAATGTAAAATAAGGCAGAGTTTCTTAATATAGTGACTGCACTTATTTTATTCAAACTATTAACCCGGAGAGTTAGTGCCCGAGGATCAAGGTCAAGGTCTGTCAAGTTGTCCGCAGTCAGTTCCTTCTTCCGTCAACTCAGGAGAGCCGCTCAATGTGGCTTATTTCCGTTATTTTCCACGTAACTTATTTTCCATCCAAAATCAGCACTTCGGAGAGGAACCCATGACGAAGTTTCGGTCTGTCGTTGACCACTCTTAAGTCATCACTCCCCCTGAGCGCACGTTTTGGGTGAATTGTTCCAGCCACGGTACTGTAACCATTTTTTTTTTCTCATTTTTATTTTTTTATTCTTTACATGATGAATTGCTCTTGCCATTACAGGACTACCTTCTGTCAGTCATCCTACCGTTGTATGAGAAATTAGGGTTCCACGAGGCCGCAGAGGAGGCGCTGCCAACGGTGTTGCTAAGAACGAACGTAGTGACTTGGGTCTGCTACCTGGGCCACCCTCACTGTCGGCTCGAATCGCTCAGTCTTTTTAGGAGATGGAAGACTGACCCAGTAAATTTTAAGTAAGATATTATTGATTTTATTGGTGTTGAAACGATAGGAGTTCCTGATTTGGGACTTGCATAAAGGCATTTCTTTAATGCACACTCAGGGCCAGGAGGTATGAATCGACCCCTGCAACCACAATTAGGCGAGTACACGTACCACACACACACACACACACACACACACACACACACACACACACACACACACACACACACACACACACACACACACACACACACATACACACATACACACATACACACTTACCTTATTCTACAATATTAACCTTAGTCTATAGTGTTGAGTTTACGAAAGGTTCGAAGCTCACCTCTTGAACCTGTTTCTTATTTTGGTATTGTATATCCTCAGAGGGATTTCGTCAAACATAGCATCCGCTGTGTTCTGCACAGCTATCAGGGAGGGCGGGGAGGAGGAATGGAACTTCGCCTGGAGGTACACCAGGGCCAACAGCGGCGTCAGTATTCCTGAATTGAAAGATGCTCTTGCCTGCACCAGCGAAATATGGTTGTTATCGAGGTCAGTGCAAAGGTGCTCCTGCGTCAGGTGTTTTAACGTCGGATATTCCTGTTAGTCATTCCAAATGCAATTGTTCCTTCGTCAGGCATTCCTTTGTCATATTCCTCTGTCAGTCTTCTCTGTTAACGACCTAATTAGTCGTTCCATTTCTTTTCTTTTCTTCTGTGTCGTGTTTTTGAAGACGTCCTCTTGTGGAGATCTCAACCAATCTGGATTCAAACATAAAGATCAGGCATGAGGATCAAGTCCATTTAAACAAATTCTCCCTTAAGTACATTCATGTGGATTCCCTCTGTATAAACAAGGATGATATTCCACAGGTACCTAGAGGGAGCGTTCACCACGGGTTCAGGAATGCGTCGTCAAGACGCTGGCAGAACTTTCACTAACGTCGCTGTTGACGGAATAGGAACCTTAATAGCTTGGGACTTTCTCAGAGCCAACTGGAACAGAATCACAGATTAGTAAGTGTTCTTACATCATCTTATTATTAATAGTATTATTGTTATTATTATTGTTATTATTACTGGTAGTAGTTAGTATTAGCAGCAGTAGTAGTAGTCGAATTATTATTATTATTATTATTATTTTTATTATTATAGTGAAACATCCAGGTAAATAAAAGAACTGAGACTTTATAAGAAAGTCAGAGGCATTAAGAGGCATTAAGAATTTTTCAAAGGAACATTAACTGTGATGAACTTCACGGTATTCCACCATTCTTCACCTCTCTTGTTTCTTCATCTTTTGTGTTCCCTTTTCCCTTTTCTCTTCTGGTACCTCCTGTTCTTCCCTTCTCTCTGCATCTTCTCTTATTCATGCCCTCCTCTTATTCCCCCAGCATTGGTACCACATTCTTCACTCTTCCCAAGATGGTGCAAGAGGTATCCAGGTCGTTCAACACTCCGCAGCTCTTGGCTGAGGTGAGATGACCTTTCCTGACCTTTATAATTGCCAGGTCTTCATGTATCAAAGGAACAAATTCAGTACATTTTTCATTTGTTTATGCAGTACAAATACTGTAGTTTACTAGTAATAGTACATTGGTAAGCACAATGCAATGCATTTCGGGCGATCCATTGCATTGTGAAGCTTTATCAGCTTCGTGAGGCTTTACCCAGAGTGAAATGTTTTACAACAAAAAAAAGTTACATGCCGTTTAGTTTAAAGAATGTATTAATTAGTGTGTGGGAGGCAATGATGAGGACCAAAGGAACCCAATAGAAATAAGCCCAGAGTGAACTTTGGGTTGCCCTGGGTTATTAACTCTCCTGGCTTAATAACCCATAAAAATCATCTTCATATTCTATTTGCAATCTTAGGTCACTAAATTTCCTTGTGCTGCTTTCTGTCACCAATGGGTTTTAATGCATTTCAGGCCATTTCTGGACATGGATTGTCACAAACATTCTTGATTGTAGCGAGTTCTGCAAAAATTTATAAAAGGAGATATTTATAGCAGGAAAATTTTTATTGTGATAAAGTTTCGCTCTATAGAAAATTCCTGATCGTCATCAATTCATCGTAGTTGTTCCCAAGTCAATAAAATGTAACTAGCTCATTGCTGAGCCCACTAAAATTTTGTACTGTTTTGACTGCCGCCCCGACGCTGGGTATGGGGTGACTACCTCCCGCATGATGGGTATGGGGTAACTCTCCTACAAGATGGGTATGGGGTGACTCTCCTACAAGATGGGTATGGGGTTACTACCTCCCATATGATGGGTATGGGGTGACTCTCCTACAAGATGGATATGGGGTGACTACATACTAACATAATTCCATCACAAGTCGCTTCTGGGTGAGTTATTCTACAACGAGAGGGCCAGACCACAGCAGTATTGTAGAAAGCAACACATTTATTAAATTCACTTTAATATTTAATCTCGTAACCCTTCTCTGTGAGCCACGAAATCGCAATGACAAGATTACAAACAAATCACGGAACGCCATAGGTTCAATCCCTACCCGTTCCGTATTTTGAGTTACTTCTATGTGAGGTCAGACAATCACTCCATTAATGGAGGATCAACCCAAATCGTTTCACACAATTACTAACATGATTCCTGGTAATCCCTACAGCTGGAAGAGTTTCAACGAGTCAACGAGGGACGCTTGCTGATGGCAGAGCGAGCAGTGGCACAGGCGCTGGAGAGCACAAGAATCAATCTGGCCTGGATGCAGAAGAACAAGGCGTTCATCGTTGACTGGCTTACACAGAAAGGCTTCTCGTCCCGGCTTTCCGATATTTAGAAGAACTTAAGAAAACATAGGAATGGAGGAACTTTGCAGCAGGCCTACTGGACCATACATGGCATGTCCTTTAGCCCGTTCATGGGAGCTGAGTCACTCCCAGGAACTGTATTACACATTGTCATACTTTTAATGGGTTTGTATTAAATTTTGAACATTCATACATAAAAAATAAGTCGAATATAAAATAAATTTCTTCATAGCTAAGAAACTGAAAATGATCACTGTACGACATCTCGACCTAATCTCGTACCATTATTAAGATTCGAGTAACTTGATAAATGAGTGATTCGGGAGACGCAAATGTTAAATTTTTCATTTCGACTTTGTGGGAAGGTTGATTTATTCCAGCCATGAAATTGTGGGTTTGTAATGATCTGTTTCAGCCACGATGCTGTGGGTAGTTATGAATTTTATCCAGCCATGATTTTGTAGGTAACAATTATGAATTGTTCCAACCACGATATTGTGGTTTACTGTATTTATAAATTGTTCCAACCACGATATTGTGGTTTACTGTGTTTATAAACTGTTCCAACCACGATATTGAGGTTTACTGTATTTATAAATTGTTCCAACCACGATATTGAGGTTTACTGTATTTATAAATTGTTCCAACCACGATATTGAGGTTTACTGTATTTATAAATTGTTCCAACCACGATATTGTGGTTTACTGTATTTATAAATTGTTCCAGGCATGATATTGTGAGTTATGAATTGTTCCATCCACTATATTGTGTATTATAAACTGCTTAAGCCATAGTACTGTTATGGTTTGTTCCAGATATTGGGACTAATTCTCCCTGACTGTTACACTGTCTGGAAAAACTTATCCCAAATCTCATTATTACCAGTGTCATACACATAGGGATGCTCTAACCCCGTAAGGGTCATAGAGTACCCGATGCACGCAAAGCTTGATCCAAGGTAGGGGAGGGAAGCTCCATCTCCTTGGATCAATAGTCATCATTAATGCACCTCATTTGAACTGATTAAGCTTAATAAAAATATTTTATTTATCAACAATTTTTTTTAATTACCCACTGTTTTACAACTATATATATATATATATATATATATATATATATATATATATATATATATATATATATATATATATATATATATATATATATATATATATAATAATGTCTTGCCGAATATGTAAAACTGGTCAATTAGCAAGAACTCATTTAAAATTAAGTCCTTTCTAAAATTTTCTCTTATACGTTTAAAGATATATTTTTTTTCATTAATGTTAATGTAAAAAAAATTAATTTTACTCCAAAAGAATCTTAGAAAACTTACCTAACCTTATTATAACAAGAACAATTTATTTTAGCCTAACCCAACTAAATATATTTTAGATTTGTTTACAATAATTTAATACTAAACAAACACAGTGAAATATATTTTTTTTCGTTAGGTTTAGAATGATTTTGGCGAAATTATTGTATTCACAAATTTTCGCTTGTCCTATATGGCAAGATGAGCGTTGCTATTTAAGCCAAGATCGCAAGTTTTATATATTTGGCACGACATACATTTATATATGTAAATGTGTGTTTGTGTGTGCGTGTAACCATTTCTCTCTCTCTCTCTCTCTCTCTCTCTCTCTCTCTCTCTCTCTCTCTCTCTCTCTCTCTCTCTCTCTCTCTCTCTCTCACCTTCCTAAGCTCAGTGGAATAAAACATCAGTTAATATCACTGGTACAATCATAAGGGTTCCTCACACTAAGAGGGACAAGTATTGTCTGGAGTCAACACCCCCACCAGCAGTGTTCCTGTGTGTGTACTCAGCATCTGCTACCTTTGTAACTTGCTCTGCTATCAAAACTTTGGGGTCCAGTCCCTGGACCCATTATGTACCTCTGTAATCTTTCAACTACCACCCACAGGATGGGTATAGAATGACTACCGCCCACAGGATGGGTATGGGATGACTACCGCCCACAGGATGGATATGGGGTGACTACCACCCACAGAATGGGTATGGGGTGACTACAACCCACAGGATGGGTATGGGGTGACTACAACCCACAGAATGGGTATGGGGTAACTACCGCCCACAGGATGGGTATGGGGTACATAATGAACATATTACACTAATTAACTCTTCCTTCTCGCTATACAAGGCGGAGGAATATATATTTATAGTGACATATACAGATAAGTTTGTGAATAAAATGCAATATGCGGGTTATGGCATGTACTGAGAGTACGTTTCGCCCACCATGGATTGATAAATTTCCTGGTGAACGAAATGTCTTCTTAGTAAATTCCATAACCGGCATATGTCGTGTTCAATTAGAATATATAAGTTGCAAGGAAATTGCAGAGACAAGGAGAATATATATGAAAATTAATGAAATTAGCACCCATAGAGCTAATATGGAAACCCTGAGCCAGATTGGGGGGATTAGCTAGCTCTGTGGGTGTGGGATGAGCCAGCTGTAGGGGTGTGGAATGAACCAGCTGGGGGAAGTAGGATAAGCCAGCTGTAGTGGTGTGGAATGAACCAGATTTGGGAGAGTGAGATGAACCAGCTGTGGGGGAGTGGGATGAGCCAGCTGTAGGGGTGTGCAATATGACAGTAGCGTTATAGATACAGCCGGCTGGTCTTGTCATGTCACACATGTGTTAGTTGCAAAATCATTGTTACAACCATCGTATCTGAGTAGCACAAGAGCTGGACCTGCCACACATGGGACCTCGGTTCGTAGGTCTGTCCATTTTTTGGTTCATTCATTGACAGTTGTTCATTATGAAGTGAGAGAGAGAGATATAGAGATATGACTTCACTTATATTCTGTTCCTTATCTGTATATCTCATAACAATACAAAGGTTCTCAAATGAGCTGATGAAGGCAACAACTCATAGCTTGTAAATAAAGTTAGGAACCCTGAACCTAATTTTGTAGAACCCTGTGTAAGAGAGAGTGATTTCTCTCTTTCTCTCCCTCACTTGCATGATCTTTCTGTTAAAGCTCCTTCAAAAGAAGCACTTTGATGATGGCTAAAGGTTCTTAGTCCAAAGAAGCAGAGATGCTTTACCTCCCCGTATCAGATCTCATTACCTCCCTAGCTCTAGGCGGTACTGACCCCTACGTTTATAGCGCTTCCCATGCTTATATACACCAGCAGTGGTGGTCGCTGACGCAGACATGTCACATAAGTTATCTGTGAAAGCTTCCTGTTGCAAACTCCGTGTGTCAGTGGTACAACATTGGACCTGCTGTCAACAGTGTAATATATATTTATATATATTTCCTAGCAACGTTACAGGCAGGCTCCCTTCCTAGCCTGACGTCACGTTACTCCATCTCCTACATAGGCCGTAGCCCACAGAACTTTTTCTCAGAATATAGGAGTAGCTGCGGGTAGAAGTGAAGGCTTATTTGAACTTGATCTTACTAAATATACATTATATATACACACTAAATATACACTATATATATACACACTAAATATACACTACAGCAAGAGTCTACAGTTGTTTCCTTGCACCATCACTACATCTACGAACCCCTTCAACACTGCTACTTGCCAGGACTATGGTTCGAATCCCTTCCATTATTCTCTTTATCCATCGGAAGTTCTTAATTACGACATTATCAAGGAACTATGTCGTTCCTCGATAATATGAGATTTCCCATATAATCAAGGAACCAGTATTTTTTTTTTAAACAGGATATCGAGTAGCAATAATAATCATAAGAATAAGAAGAAGCAGCAGAAGAAATTGTGTTCATAAGAAGAGCTCCATCAAATATAAGAGTAGCGAAGTATGCCCCTATGAGGAAACGTGATATGAGTCCTTAAAATGAATAAAGGGCAAATGTCAGAACCAAATTCAGCCATGAAAAATTCCTTTAGCTAAAAATCTTTACGTTAGACGCCCTGCTAAGGCATTCCATGTATGGGTGAAGGCAATACCTTGCCTTATGTAGTTAACAGAGACCATTATTATTCGCAGGTGTAGTGTGTAATTACGTAGCTAACTCGCCCGGCCCAGCACTCACCCGCAAGAATTTTTTTAAATGATTATGACATTCTCTGTCGACCTTTGACAATCAATTGATGCACGACCTGTTGTGTTAATGCCTCAAGGAGCAATTATATCGCTAATTTTCTCGTTAAATAGTCCATTATGACACTATTTTTTTTATAAATTCAAGCAGTTGCGAAGGCCATTTGTTGACAGTTGCTCCCCACATCGTGAAATGTGCCATCCAAATACATGACTGTAGATTAACTCTCTCTCTCTCCTTGGACGTCATAGTGACATCACCGAGAAGACTTTTAGCTATAATCCCATTGGTCGAGAAAAGTGACTCATATCATCCTCTTAATCTGATTGGCCGCTGGGTCAGAGACTTGGGTGCCCGTGTGCATCTTACCAGAAGCCATATCGACTAACCTCTCAAAATTACCAGCCATTCTCCCTACCCTCTCCTGTAGGTTTCTGAAAGTCGGCCCGCTGCTATGGTGATTCCTGCGTGACAAGTTGAATAAGATAAATGATGGAGATATGGCTAACAGCTGGTATCATCCGGCCTTGCCATATTAGGTTTGTCCTGTGAAAGTGAGGTGGTCGAGGACTGGTTGAGGTGGAAGCCTCAGGACGCTCACTCGCTAGTGAACTGTCGTACAGTGTAGACCCTCGTACAGCCGCTCTTGTGGCCTTCCTCCCCCCTCTGGATAACACCAGTGCTTCAAAATTATAACAAATGGCATACCACGGTCCCTCCTACGGTCTGAGCAGGGAGTGCCAGATGAAGGTGAGGCATACTGTGCATGCGAGTGCCAAAGAAGCTGGATGTTGTTGGGGCGATAGTCGGCATTTGTTCAGCTTGTCTGGGTGTGGGTCAGACAGACACTTGTTGATTGTGCTGCACCACACATGGCTGCCACACACATACCGTTACCCATAAAACACCTCTCAAAATTTCCTGTCTTAAAAGTTTCTTGAAAAAATTTTACTTCCATTCAAGCTCTTTCTAATTACGCTGCTACAGACGGCTGGTCCCTAGTTATAAACAGAGCCGTTTCTAATTCATGAGTAATGCAGTGTTAAACAACTTTCGTTGCAGCCATATCCTTACACACACACATACTTATTATAAACTGATGTATGTATGCTTATATACGCACTTGGTAAATTATGGAGCACCTCTATAGAACTGTCGCTCCCCCATGATTATAATAATAATTATAGAACTGTTTTGCTCACAAGTGAAGGTCCTGGGTTCAATCATGAGCGAATTGAACATATTAAAAAGCCTCCCAACAGCTGTTACCTCGGTTCACCTATCAGTAAATAGGTACCTAAGTACCTTACATGCACGCTGCTTATGGTGTGTTAGAAGTGCTGTATATCTATTGGTTCCGTACCTACGTTAGTACCACGCATGTAGCACTACTGTGTGTACCACTATCTGCTTACCAAGGGTTCAGTCGCAGAACGTGTGGAGACGAGGTAACTTTCCCAGTACCTGCTGCCCATGTTCACCTAGCAGTAAATAGGCTCTGGAGTTTAGTAGAATGTTTTGGGTGGCATCCTGGGGGTGATACGCACCTGATAGTGCTGGGCTTTGAGTTACGTAGCTGTCTTAATTTGAAAGGTTTAATAAGATATTACAAGGACCCCCACCTACCTACCTGAAAAAAAGTCACTGATTTTATTTTGCGTTATCCTAGGAAATACACTGATAGTTGTATTTGTGTACCTGTACCTAAATAAACTTACTAAATAAGTCTAAATACAAGTTTTTATTTAGCACAATCTACTAATGGTCTTATAAATAGAACCCAAAACATTTTTGCAATATTTCTGAGGGCACATAAATACTGTCGACATAAACTGCAAAACTCCGGTCATTTCCATGTGCGATAGAAAAAAATATTAAATATAATTTAGGTAATGCCATTGGAAATAATACTAGGTAATCTATACATGTGTTACTATGTACGATAATTGTACTTGTGTGGCCCCTCAAGGAAGGTTCCTTGATGTTGGTGAGGGGC